ATCACACATCGGAAAATGTGACAATTTTCAGTTCAGCAAATAAAACAGAGCGTTGATCGTCTCGAACACCAATAAACCAGAAATACCAGGAAGTGTCATTTCTGACTCAGAGGTTGACATGCAATGACCCTCCAGCCTTCACGGTCGTGAGCTGCGTTGCACATTCTGCTCTACCAAAGATTGTACATAACAAGATAGATCACTCGGCTAAAAAAGTGTCCGAGGTTGTCCGCACATTGGTTCAGATGGCGCTGCAGTCTTTGTTTTGAAACTCTCTTTCATTGCTCCCGAAGAAGAATAGGAATAGCACCCCCTTGTGTATCAACTGTTAAGGGTTGCTCAGTGTTAAGTTTTGGATTTACTATAATTTAATGACCTCTCACCTCTCATTCTAAAGCCAAATTAAAAAACGAAAACAGTCGCCCCTTTCACCTGGAGAGGATTTTTGTCAGCGCTACCATTTAAAAAAGGCGTTACTCCGAAATTCTAATTCGAATGTATACATAACTTGTTAGTTTCACTTTGATTATTTTCCCCACAAGTAGGGTAAGTAACTCTGTTTCGAAGAGGGCGCCACCGGATTTTGAGGACACTTTTTTAAATTGGTTCAAAGAGAGGAGCGAACCATCTTGCCATATACGGTCTTTGGCTTTACCTAGGAAGTCCATGTTTTTATGTTGTTCACCCATTTTACTCTGTGTCTACTCAATAAACGCATTCTATCAAATAATCGGATGACCGAATGCTCAACTAAGATAGGTGTAATGAACAGAGCAAACGCCTCCGACAAGATAGAAATGACATTTCGTGAACAATCAAGTAGGTGAGAAGTGCTTAACCTTCGAGCTTTGTAGACAGAGAGCCGTGAAAGCCCACAAGAAATGTGTTTTCTTACTCTAGCAGGGACAGAGATCGGCGAGTTGGGAAACACTCGAAAGTCGGAGCTCGTTCTCGAACTTTGTCATTTCAAACTACTTCACATCAGGGCGGCTCAGGGCTGTCTATTTTCTGTAATGTTAGGACCTCTGGTCGCTTTTCTGATTTTTTTAGACCATTTCTCATAGTATTTTTGAGCATTTTCTACTCACACGTACGTGCATATAGGTACACATGCACACACACACACACACACACACACACACACACACACACAT